AATGTTTTAAGGAACTCCATACTGTTTTCCATAGTAGCTGCATCAATTTAAAGTCCCACCAACAGTGCACAAGGGTTCCCCTTTCTCCATATCCTCACCAACACTTATTATATCTTGTCTTTTTGATAACAGCCATTCTAACAGGTATGAGGTGGTATCTCATTGTGGTTTTGATTTGCATTTCCCTGATGATTAGTGATGTTGAACACCATTTCATGTACCTGTTGGCCATTTGTATCTCTTCTTTGAAAATGTCTATTCAGATCCTCTGTGCATTTTTCAATTGGATTGTTTCGTTTCTTTGCTACTGAGTTTTGTGAGTTCTTTATATATTTTGAATATTTACCCTTTATCAAATATAGGATTTGCAAATATTTTCTCCCATTCAGTAGGTTGCCTTTTCATTTTGTTGATGGTTTCCTTTGCTACACAAAAGCTTTTTAGTTTGATGTAGTCCCACTTGTTTATTTTTGCTTTTGTTGTCAGATCCAAAAAATCATTGCCAAGACCAATGTCCAAGAGCTTACTGCTTATGTTTTCTTCTAGGAGTTTTACGGTTTCAGGTCTTAAGTTCAGGTTTTTAATCCATTTTGAGTTAATTTTTGTATATGGTGTAAGATAGTGGTCTAGTTTCATTCTTTTGCATGTGACTATCTAGTTTTCCCAACATCATCTATTAAACAGACTGTCCTTTCCTCATTGTATATTCTTGGCTCCTTTGCCATAAATTAATTGACCATATATGCATGGATTTATTTTTGGGCTTTATTGATCTGTGTGTGTGTTTTTATACCATACTGTTTTGATTACTGTAGCTTTGTAATATAGTTTGAAATCAGGAAGTGTGATGCCTCCAGCTTTGTTCTTCTTTCTCAGGATTGCTTGGCCATTATTACTGTTTTATATTAAGAGAAGATATAACTGAATATATCTGAACATTTTGTTATTTCTTATTTACCTTTAAAAATACAGTGTCCTCTACTAGTCCTACTACTACCACTACTAGTACTACTACCACTAACGGCATCATTGATTCATTGATCACTACTATGGGCCAAGAATAGACCTAAGCATTCCACTTATATTAACTCTCTTAATGCATACAACAATGCTATAAGGTACTATTATCATCATCTGCACATTTTTGTGTGTGTGTGAGGAAGATTAGCCCTGAGCTAACACCTGATGCCAATCCTCCTCTTTTTGCTGAGGAAGATTGGCCCTGGGCTAACATCTGTGCCCATCTTCCTCCATTTTATATGGGAGGCTGCCACAGCATGGCTTGACAAGTGGTGCAGCGGTGCACACCCGGGATCTGAACCTGCGAACCCTGGGCCACCAAAGCAGAGTGCACGCACTTAACTGCTATGCCACCAGGCTGGCCCCCATCATTCTCATTTCTACAGACAAGGAAACAGAGGTACTGAGAGATTAAGTAACTTGCTCAAAGTAAAAAATAGAAAGAGACATAACTGGGAGTCAAACCTACATAGTCTAGTTTTAGCATCCAGGATCCTCACTACCACTCCTGCCAGCCTAATTAACCATTCTGAGTATTCTAGGTAAAGAAGAGTATTGTATTCTTTTCTAAGATAACCACATAGACTTGCTACTATTTGTTTAGAGTTGACTTTCCTGGAGCTCAGCTTAGCTTTGACATTTGCAGACACGGGTTAGCTTTCATCTCACTGCAAGAAATAAGGCAACCTGGTATTTAGTTTACCTGCAAAAGGCAGTTAGGAAGCCTTAGAGGAACCTAATTAAAATGCAGCACATTTCCAAGGCACCATATCTTGCTGTGTTGCCATAGAAACAGTGGGAATTTCTGGTCACTGACCTTTAAGGGAATCTGAGGACACATTTTCATAAGGTTCGTAAGAGAAGCTCTCCCAGTACATATAGTTACAGGATCAGCTTTGGAAATCCCCTATGGGATCCGGCCTGACTTTAGAAGTATATTACATCACCAAAACTTACTAGAGGCTCAAACTCGGGCTTTTTGAAGGAAGGTTTTTTAACTGCTTCCAATATACCATCTGCACTATTGGATTTAAAATAATCAGATATACTGTTATAGTAGCAAAGAAACATCAAAGGAAATCTTAGATAATTATATAAGAGATATTGGAACTAAAGTCATATTTGAAATAGTTTTAGTGTAATATCTATTCTATTGCATCTGGATTCTTCAGATCTAGGCTTACTCAAAGGATAAAAAATAGCATTACCGTATCAAAAAAATACACCTAGAAAATCAAAGCTTATTATAAAATGTTAAGGTGTTATTTAAAAATATAAATTCTTAATTCATGCCTTTTCTGATTTATTCATTTATAAATTCAGTCATTATATTACTAAATATGTATAATTGAAAATCCCAGTTATACTGTATTTTATATATATATAAATATATATATATATATAGATATAGGCTATTTGACAGAAGCCAAGTGCCCATGATTCAACAGAAAAAATGACAAAGTTTGCCTTACTGTAGACTGCTGTTATTACATTAATGTTTTTACCTTCTACTGAAAATAACATTTCTATCATCAGGATATGTATAGTTTAGTTATAAGAAAATATCAATCAGGAATCAGCTGCTGGCTAATTTATCCTAGAATAGAAATATATTTCTGTAGATATGAGTATCACTTATTCCAGACAGATATGTGAAGAAAAATAGACATATATTTATAATTATATATAGAAAAGTGAGGCTACTACCTCATTCCCTAGACTTCTGGAGAGTTCTCTTACCTAGTTGTATGTCTTTGCTCTGAGAGACAACATAGCCTAGGGGCTGAGAGCGCAGACTTTGGTCCTATGTTGACTGGGACTCCCGGCTCAGCCACTTTCTGTGTGGTTTTGAGAAAGTTACTTAGCCCCTGGGTGCCTCAGCTTGCTTGTGTATAAAATGAGGATAATAATGGAATGTCTTAGGATTGTTTTGAGAATTAAATGAGCTCATATTGATAAGTCATTTACATCTATATTTGACACATAGTAATAAAAAAAGTATTTGCAATTCCAGGGACAGAGCAAACAGGGAAATGCCATCCACATTGCAGTCCTGCCCAATACAGAAAGAACGCAGCGGGATGAACTCATCCCGGATGAAAACAGAGCCATCAGTGAGGTGGACAGAGAAGTCTGTCAAGTTTGCAATTAGAAAAAGGTGTTTTTCTTCCTCAGTATGGATGTAGACAGCATTATCTCTGAGAATTAATGGTTGTCCTTGCGATGTGTGTGTGTGTGTGTTTAATCCACTAGTTACCTACTGGATGAGCCAGAAGGATGAGGAAACATTTGCATCTCACACTGGGGGGGGATTTTGAAAAAGATGCAACTTGGAATGCCAAACCACACATTAGATTGTTGTGCTGCCAACTGTGTGCCAAAGCCCACCCTGACCTGTTTTGTTAAAGCCCCCATGGAGTCATATGAGGCAGACTTGGGGGAATGATGTCTGAAAAACAAACCTAGAGCCAGACTAACCCTCAGGCCACTTGTCAGGTGGATGTCTGAGCAGTGGATATGAGACAAGCTTCCTGAAAAGGCTTGTCTGCCTTACACAATTTTTTTAAGTGCTTAGCACAAGATAACCACTCCTGGTATGTATCTTCCCATGATATTTTCTACGCATATATTAGTACTAGAATGCTTTTTGTACAGATATTTTAATTTTCCATATTGTCTTCCTAATTAGAAACAATCATTAATGTACCTAAATGAAACAAGAGACTTACCACTTCTCTCCAGTTTAAGGCTACATAGGCTGCTTAACACACGTCATAGTCTCTTTCCAATTAGTCAAAAAAGGAAGTTTCTATGGTGACCATGCTTATAGTTCTTATACACATTCCTCCTCCTTTCCTTGCCAGTGCCCAATATACATCAAATTACTCATTACATATGAATTGTGCTTCTAAGAATATTCTTAAAATTATTCTACTGATGACTTTTAAAAGTGACTATGCTATTTTTCCCTGAATAATTAAAAGGATAAACCAAATAATTTCTCAATTTATATAGGGCTTTCACAGTAAAGTTTATCGTCAGCACCCATGGGGAATTAATGGATCTTCCTTAAATAGAAAAAGCTTTCCTAAAGAAGGATCCTGAAATTCATATATTTAGCAGAATTTAGATGATTGCATGCAATTTTTATAAATGTGGAGAACTGACACTTCTTAAGGTGATTCTCTGGTAGTTCCCCGGTAGAGACATTTAAATGTCTTTCCTGTGGGGTAACAAAAGGATTTCTGATTAAAAAAAAAAAGGAAATGCTTGGAATTCTGGGTTAAACAAATTTAACCAGGTTCCCTCAGAGCCTTTAATGTGCTAATGTGTCTTATGAATATCCAAAGGGGATGTAGTCCAAATCATTTTTTACACTCAGCATTCCATGGAATCCACTTTTTCTTTTTTTTTTGGGTGAGGAAGATTAGCCCTGACCTAACATCCATTGCCAATCCTCCTCTTTTTCCTGAGGGAGACTGGTCCTGGGCTAACCCCAGTGCCTGTCTTCCCCTACTTTATATGGGACGCCTGCCACAGCATGGCTTGATATGTGGTGTGTAGGTGTGTGCTCAGGATCCGAACCTGCAAACTCCTGGCCACCAAAGCAGAGCACACAAACTTAACCACTACACCACTGCACCAGCCCCTCATGGGACCCACTTTTTCAGTATAACCTCTAAAGGCACCATGCCCATCAGAACATACTTTGGGCAGTGTTGCTTCAGGGAATTCCCAGAATAAAGGGTTAACGTTCCATCTCACCTGTTTAACTCCTCTAAAATTCCTCCTCTTTCAAATGGCTGTCAAGAACTCTATACTTAAGTTAATTGTGTCAGTTCTCATTTCATGTTGCTTATAAACATGATTTTATTATTAAAGTGAGATGGGATAAAAAATAGGATTTTTGTAATGAGATAACATTTTAATTTTCACCATTTATATATAAATACAAGTTAATAAAACACATCACAAAACAGTAAAATTTCATGGTTAATATTTATAGGTGCATAGTTTCATGCTCATGTTTTTAAGTACTGTATATATTAATAAATTTCACAACACATCATTACTCTTAGAATCATTAAAAGACACCTAAAAATCTCATATATGATAGTAAATCACAATTTCTCAACAACAGCAACAAAAAAATAGTGAAGATTTAGAAATAAGTGGTAGTCACTTAGGTGTTTTAAATTTATTTTAATATTTTAGATTTGAAGCCACAATATCCACACAGCACACAAGGACCCTGCTACCATATACTCACTTCCATGGGAGGGAAGCACCGAAACGCTGAGTGGGGGCAGGTACAGATACTTTAATCACTGCAGAAGGAAGAGTTCAAAATACACTGTAAAAACTTTGGGAACATATCATGACTGGGCACGTTGGAACTGAGCACTTGTACAGGATGGAACATCTGTCAGCAGGTCTCAAGGAACTGGGAGCAAAGATATTTCTCAGGCTTCAGGTTCATAGTCTTGATACCCTTCCTAATATTAGGAAAATCAGAAAGACAACATGCAGTGTTAGTGCAAGTCATCAGTAGTCAAGGATTTAAGCCAAATGAGACAGGACATGGCTCACCACTTTGAGTAAAGGTTATACTCATAATGGTTCTGGGACTATCCTGCTACACACAATATAATTTTATTTTTAATAGTTTTGTCTTCCTGTCAAATATAAAACTGAATCATGCTGGTGGTCAGAGTTAGGGTGACCGAATTCTCCTTCCAGATACGCAGTTAACAATCATATGATCTTGTCCTGTAGGACAGATTAGTTGCTCTATCTTGCTCTCAGTTCCCTCAACTGTACATTGTGAGAGCCAGATCAAGTGGCCTAAAAAGCCTCTTCCAGGGCTAAGATGCTCTAATTCTTAGAAGAAAATGAAGACACTTAAAGGCAAGTTACATTTTCTCTCTTTTCACTCTCCCCGTGGAAATTTCTTCTTCATTCATGGCTTCAATTATTACTTCTATTCCAAAGCCCACCCTCGTACAATATATGGATAACATCTACAATAAAAATATTAATGGCCTTAACTAAAGTGGTCAGATTAGTCCTGCTAAAGAACAACTAGAATAATATCAGGATCCTGCTTAAAAACAAACAAACATACTTCAATAACTCAAGTTGCTTTGTGAATAAATTACAAACTTAAATGGCAAGGTTGTTCTGGTACTCTACAATTTGTCTTTGACCCCTCTCTGCAGCCTTAATCTGTCACTCCTCTCTCTGTTCCCCAAGCTTGAATCCTACTGAATTACTCACTGTTCCTCAGACATCTCCTTATGCATTCTCAGACGTGCATGCGTTCGCCTCTGATGTTGCCTTGTGCTAGAATGTCCTCCCCCAGGTTGGCCTATCATAACTCCCATCCCCTCCCACTCAGATCAACACCATGTCTTCTATGCAACTTCTCATCATTGATCTAAACAGATCCTGTAAAATATTATACCTTTTATATCTTGCATACTTTTGCCCCTTTTGTGTGGGGCATAGAGGACAGTCAATAATGTTTGTTAAAGGAATCATGATGAACAAATGAAGGAATAAACTTATATTTGTTTTTATCAAACCTACTAAAGTGTAAACTCCTTATGTCCTGGTACTGTCATTACTCTTTTTGTATTTTCTATAGTGTTTAACATTGTGCCATGCATAAAACGACCCCAAAATATTGGTAAAATCTAATTAGGCAATGAAACAATTTAATTTCAATTTCAATTTCAATAAATGAGATTATTATCAATTTGCCTTTTAATGATGCCATGAAGAATAATACATTAACTATGATACACTTTAATTTTTAATGAAGCAATAATACGTTTTCTTTGCTTGTCTGGTTTTGGTATCAGGGTAATATCGTCCTCAAAGAATTAGTTGGGGAGTGCTTCCTCCTCTCCTATTTTTGGGAGAGGAATTAATTGGTATTAATTACAATTAATAGGTATTAATTATTCTCTAAGTGTTTGGTAGAATTCACCAGTGAAGCTATCTGGTCCTATGATTTTCTTTGTGGGTAGGTTTTTTAAACAATAATTTAGTCTCTTTGTTATAGGTCTATTCAGATTTTCTATTATGTCTTGAGTCAGTTTCATTCATTTAGAAGCATTTTCTAATTTCCTTTGTGATATATTTTCCATTAAAGAAACTTTTATTTTCAAATTAAAATGAAATTATCAAATTATGCTGCTTAAAACACTAGACTGAAATACATCAATTGTTGCAAACCAAGCATTTATCATCTTTCTACTGTATAATTTTTGTAACATTTATTTTACTACGCAAACATCCCACTGGAAATGTATGGCAAATAATAATTACTTTCTTTTGGCATTCAGTTGATTTCTCCAATCTTCCATTTGGGAATTTATTTCAGAATGTAAAGTTTGTAATGAAATAATTCTCTCTGCAGGGATCAGCAAACTTTTTCTGTAAAGGGCCAGATAGTGAATATTTTAGGCTGTGTGGGCCACTTATGGTCTCTGTTGCTGCTGCTGCATTTTTTCTTTCTTTCTTTCTTTTTTTTTCTACAACCCTTAACAAATGTAAAAACCATTATTAGCTTGCAAGTGGTCCACACAATACATGTCCTGGCTTTGGCCAACTTGTGCATCTAGAGAGTAAATCATTGTCACCAAGGACAAGCATAAGCGAAATCTACAGCAACAGATTTTTGGTACTCTTCTTAGAAAGACCCAACTTGAAGTCCTAAACTTTATTTTCAGAGTTTTGTGTACATAAACTTTTACCTCGGGCATTTCATAAGCCTCATTGTCAGGATCCACGGGCATATCTTCCAGAATTCCTTCCTGTGGGGCTCCTTCTTCACTCTAATATTTAAATGGGAAGCATAAAAATAATATGATGAGGTGTCATTTCTCATTTTTTTAAATCAAACATATTTTGAAAACATCTTATATAAAATACCGGCAGAGATGTTGTAAAAATGGCACTCCCAATATTACTGCTGGCATTCTAAACTATACAATGCGTTTGGAAAATCATTGTGATGGCATGTGTTATTAACCCTAAAAATGTACAAATTTTTTGCCCAAGTAATTCACTATCCAGAAAATAGGCCAAAGTTATAGTTCAAAGATGTTTTTCACAGGATCAATGACAGGAGTAAAATTGTTAACCTAAATTGTTCAGTGGAAGATGAAGAGTTTAGAAAATTATCATTCTACTTAATAGATTATTATGAAGACATATATTACTATGACATAAGATTATATAAAAAAATGAGAATCTATTTATGATAGAATGTTTAGCAGAATGTAAAGTGTTACATATATTATGGACACAACCGATGTAGAATTCAGATGCAAAAGTAAAAAGATTGGAAGAAAACACAACAAAATATTAAAAGTACTTTTTGTTGGGTAGTTATACATGTTTTTACTTTTTTGTAAGTTTTTAACTTATATAATGATTTACAATGTAAAAGCACACATTTTATAATTTATTTTTAAATGATGGCAAAGAAATATTTTCTCAAATTTCAAGATTGAAACTATATATATTTGGAAGAAGAAAATCAAATATATGGTCAGACAATTTTCCAGGTATCTCTCCTTAGAAATAGGATACCACAAAACTCAACCTGAAATCGTCATGGTTTTATTAGTATTCTTCATCAAATACCTTGTGTTGCTTTGAAGTTATTCCAGCAAAGTAGTTAGGAAAAGTTAAGGTTCATTGAAAATTGAAAGAGCAGAGAGGCAATGTGAGCCTATAAAGAGATCAGGGCCTCAGCCAACATAGCTTATGTTTAGAAATTTGCATGATGTAAATAATAGCTCCTCATGTCTTCATCATGAAAGTGACTGACAGGTAGGCAGAGGGACAAGGAAATGGTTGACTGTGAGAAAAAGTCAAACTAAAGCTCATGCTTACATTAGCTGGGCAGAGAAGTTTATAGATCATCTTCTTCTGCCCAACTCCCTTTTTATAAACAAAGTCCAAGTTATACATAAATAAAGTAAAATATAAACCATCCCCCTAATACCTTACTTCTAAACATAAAGATATTGTTTTCAGAGTGTTTCATCTCTTAGTACAAGTCAAGAATAGAAGTTCTGTTGCGTGATGGTTAGACATGAGGGCTTATAGCATCACAAGACTTGAGTTCAAATCCTGGCTTCTCCAGATTCTAGAAATTTTGTGATGTTGGACAAATTTCTTAAGCTTTCTCTTAGTATCAAGTAGCCTGACAAATAAAATACAACAGCAATACCTCTTTTAACTGAGGGAGGGGAGTCAATGACATCATTAATTTTCTATTAGTATTTAGATGACTTTTAGTGATAGTTAAGTATGAGGAAAATAAAGTAAATTTCCTGTTGAACTGACAAGCAGACCTTTTTCTAACCTAATTTCTTAGAAGATTTTATATAGCCTGAACAAATAAATATGGCAGAACTGACTTGTTGTCTGAGTATCATAAATGAGGTGCAACTGCACAACTAAGACTGTACTGGTAAATGTTACTAGATGTGTGCGTGTTTGTGTGTGTAGTTGGATGTGTCTGTGTGCATCTTCAAAGTTCAGCCAAGTAATGTTGGGTATTGCTTGTGAATTCATTGGCTAGACTGATCATATATTGGGATCGGGTGAAATCCATCTCTGTTAATTTTAAATATTAGTTCACTCAGGTTGCAAGTATATAATAACTGCTTATTTTAAAAAGTATATGCGAGGCCAGCCCCATGGCTTAGTGGTTAAGTTCGTCACGCTCCACTTCGGCAGCCTGGGTTCAGTTCCCAGGTGCAGACCTACACCACTTGTTGGCAGCCATGCTGTGGCAGCAACCCACATACAAAGTAGAGGAAGACTGGCACAGATGTTAGCTCAGGGTGACTCTTTCTCAAGCAAAAAGAGGGAGATTGGCAACAGATGTTAGCTCAGGGCGAATCTTCCTTAGCAAAAAAAAAAAAGAAAAAGTATATGCATTTCTGAGCATGCATTTACCTACTCCTTAAAATTGCACTTTGAATATCTACAGTTTATAAAGTAAAATATGTACCACTTATTTTGAACTAAATACAGGGCATAAAAATTGCACTCACTTATATAACCACTATATTTTATATGTTCTTGAGAAATTATCTTTTTTTTTTGGTGAGGAGGATTAGCCCTGAGCTAACATCTGTTGCCAATCTTCCTCTTTTTGCTGAGGAAGATTGGCCCTAGGCTAACGTCTGTGCCCATCTTCCTCTACTTTATATGTGGGATGCCTGCCATAGCATGGCTTGATAAGCGGTGCGTAGGTCCGCGCCCGGGATCCAGATCTGTGAACCCCAGGCTGCTGAAGCAGAGCGCTAACTTAACTACTACACCGCTGGGCCAGTCCTTGAGAAATTATATTAATCAAAAGTTTAAAAGAGGGCCGGCCCCGTGGCTTAGCAGTTAAGTGTGCGCGCTCCGCTGCTGGCGGCCTGGGTTCGGATCCCAGGTGCCCACCAACACAGCTTTCTCTGGCCATGCTGAGGCCGCGTCCCACATACAGCAACTAGAAGGATGTGCAACTATGACGTACAACTATCTACTGGGGGGCTTTGGGGAAAAAAAAAGAAAATATAAAGGAGGAGGATTGGCAATAGATGTTAGCTCAGAGTCGGTCTTCCTCAGCAAAAAGAGGAAGATTAGCATGGATGTTAGCTCACAGCTGATCTTCCTCACAAAAAAAAAAAAGTTTAAAAGAATTATAAAATTGGCTTAATTGTGGGCAAGGGTTTGGGAAACCATAGAGGAAATGCAAATACAATATTAAAAGAGAGATCAAATAAGTAAGCTAAAAGAATAAAGACAGATAAATGGAAGAAAGAGGGAAAAAATGAAATAAGATGGAGGATGAAAAATCAAAGATAAACACTAGGATGTTCAATAACTATCAACATGTCACAAGAACAGGCCTGGACCCACTAAAGGAATAAATATATACTGCTTTCACAAGTCTGACTGCTGGGTTTTTTCACTGTTGTTCTCTGCAGAATGCAAGTATTGATTTCATTAAAATAAAAATGCATTAATATTAATAAATTATCATTATAACTTTAAAGATCTTAAATACCTGTATTTCGTTACATGAAGTGGAGACAGCTCTCAGAACTCCTATGAGGCAGACTGTCCTTAGCCACATCTTAATGAGGAAACTTGGTCTTTAGAGGAGTAATTTACTCAGTCAAATTGACAGAGGTGACTCCTGACTGTGCTCTTAACCACCATCCTGAGCTTCTCCAAGAGTTTTGGCATTCAAAACGTTTTCTTTAATTGAATTACTTATAGATTTATGTAACTCAGAAATAGGACATTCTATCATGTTCCTGACTATGCCCAGTCTATTCCTTTAAGACACAGTTAAGAGTCTATTGTTGGAAAACAAAATTCTCATAATGTGATTGCTGAAACCCATCAAAAAAGTTTATTCACAAACATTACAAGCTCTATGGGGCCATTACATCTTTTATATTACAAAAGTTTACCTAGAAGGAAAACAAACAATATTAGTTAAAGCACAGGTGAGAATTATCTTTATGAAAACACTCACCTATCACCTGTGCGCAGAAAAACCCACTCCGAGGGCAGGACTAGAGGAACTAGTGAGGGTCAAGAACTATTGCGGATGAAGTGGCAGTGTTAAAGGTAGACCTAGTCTCATGATGATTCCCGGAACACAAGTAGCCAAAATCCTTTAAGAACAGGGATAACTGATATTCAGTTTCCTATTTTATCCAGTCCTGTGCTGCAATATAATTTCACCATCCCTCTCTGCCCCTCACATAACTGTTGTCCCTAAATCTCCACTAACGTTTGCTACACAGTGGTCAGGATAAGACACTGCAAGATGAGAAAGGCACAGCATGGGTAGGAGATGGATTATTTTATGGAAGAAATTAGAACCAGAACTGACCAGGAGAAACGTAACCCTAGGAAAACCATGAAGCATGTATCTTGCCTTTCCTGTACAAACTGCATCTTAGGGTAAACCAATAGTTGATGAGTGTAAGTTTTCCTTTATAGATGTAATCTAGCTAAGGAAGGAAAGGTAGACTATCACCTTTTTACGAGGAATCTGGGCAATGATCATCAACAGCTGCTAACATGACATGAAGAGATACAACCACATATCATGTGCCCCAGATGGAAGCACACATCACCACCTATAAGATGTCCTTGCCAAACATCTGAATTTGATTCACATCTAACTATCACTAGATCTGATAATTTACCAGCAAATATAAGGGGCTGAAGAACATGTTCACATCATTAGACACAATCAGCAAATTCCTGACTGTGGGGAACAACACAGGACAAACAGCACAACTACTTCAACAAGTCAATTGCAAGGAAAACACAAGTTTCGGGAAACCTGTAGATCAAAGTAGACTCAAGAGAGCACCGGAAAATTGCAACTTAAGAACATTATTTTATGCTTATTTGGATCCTGATATAAGCAAATATGAGACAGTTGGGGAAATGTGAACACTGACTGGATATTTAATAAAGAGTTATGTTTATTCTTTGAGTGTGATAATATATTGGAGTTTTGCTTAAAGAATCCTTAACTTTTAGAAATTAAATAATCAAATGTTTACAGATCAAATAAGCTATCTAGGTATTTGCTTTGAAATGATCCAGGTTTGAGTGGGAAGAAACGGGTGGAGTATAGAAGCAGCAAGAGTCTATTACTTGATTGTTGGGTGTATATGTCTAATTTTTCACAGATTTTTAGAAGTGCATATGCTTATTTCAATAGTTATTCTCTAATGTTTTTCTGAATATGATTAGGTGATCTAAATTTGTCAGCTCTATTATATTAATAGATTTT